GAGCTAGCTTAACCCTAGTCTTATTTGTAGGGTTTTTTAGCATCCTCCATAAACCAAAAAAAATTGTTTCCTACCACCAAATATCATTTCTGCAACCCAAATCCTAACCCCACCAAAATTTTTCTTTCCTATTCCTTAATCTCTAGCCATGTAATACAAAAGATATATGCCCGAGCCTACCCGGGAAGAGAGATGGCGAGAGCTTCGTCGCCTTCAATCGAGGCTTGCAGAGATTGATGAGTTAACACAAGGGGAGGTACCCTTGACCAAGATCTGGAGAGTCGAAGGGAAGAAAGAGAAGAAGATTTGAATCCCTTACATAGGGAGAATTTAAGCGATGAAGAAGATATACCACAACGTTTCAAAATCCAATGCTAAAGGAGGCCTATAGATGGTTGTTTGAATCCCTTAGGGAAATCATTTGGAGGGCACAAAGATGTCGACATCAAAGTTGATTTACCAAAATTTGAGGGAGGTATGGATCTCAAAGTCTTTATTGATTGGCTGCAATCTGTTGAACAGATCTTCAAATATAAGGATGTGTCAGAGGATAAGAATATCAAATTAGTTGCTATCAAATTGAAGAAAATTTCCTCTTTGTGGTGGGAGAACTTGCAGCGACAGAAAAGGGAAGACAACGATAAGATTACCAGGTGGGAGAAAATGAAAAAGACGATGCAAAGGAAATGCCTCCCACCCAATTACTATCAGGATATGTTTCTGAGTCTCCACTACCCGCAAGAGCGAGAGATATTAGTAGAGGAGTTCAGAGAGCAGTTTGATCAGTTGCAAATGAGTCATGATCGAGTAGAGCTAGAGGAGAACACCATAACCCGTTATTTGGGGGGCTTGAAACAAACTATCAGCGATGTGGTACAACATCCTTGTTTATCAGTTGAAGATGTTCAGACACTAGCCCTTAAGAAGGTGGAGAGGCAGTAGAAGCAAAGCAAACAACAGTCATTCTTTAGACAACAAACCTCAGGCAGGTATTCTCCTACAGTTACAACGACTGACAAATGTACTTCGGGTGACGCAAGCAAGCCCAGGCAAGGGAGCGACACTTCGGTTCAGAGTAGGAAGAAGCAGGAGAGGAGTAGCTTCTCCAACGCTTATCGGCCCGGAATTGTTACATATGCTACGACTACGGTCACATAGCCTCCATCTGTTTCATAAGCAGAGTAGTCACCATCACAGATCAGGTTGTTGGGGAGGAGGTTAGCGACGATGAGAAAGTTGAGGAATAGGGTGAGGCGTATCAAGTCCAATCAGATGAATGAGAGGCGTTCGTGATTCAACGGATCCTGCGTACTGAGGACACGAGGAATCCGCAGTGGCTTTGCCATAACATATTCTGCTTCCGCTTCGCAGTAAACAGAAGGGTATACAACCTCATCATCGACAGCGGGAGCAACAAGAACGTAGCACTACACAAATGGTAGATAAATTGAGACTTGCAACCGAGAGACATTCCCAATCGTATTCACTGTCGTGGTTGAAGAAAGAGAATCAGTTTAGCATCAGTCGAAGATGCTTGGTAGAGTTTTCGATCGGAGGCCAGTTGCAGGATCAATTGTGGTGTGGCGTGGTTTCTATGGATGTCTGTCACATTCTATTGGGAAGACTGTGGCAGTTTGACCGGATGACGAAACACAAATGATTCAGAAACACATATTCCTTCACCAAGGATGAGAAGCACATCATCCTACTTGCCTTAGTAGAGCTTGAGATCACATGAGCCGTTACCAGCAGAGTAGCGCTAGTGGGACCAGTTTTAGTGATGTCATCACCGAGACAGCTGCTCCAAATACATGACAGATACGACCGAGGGTATGACAGGTCGACAGCGTAACATTGGCGCTACCCTCGTGCGGGAAGGGTCAGATTACTCTCTTTGCACACTCGATTGAACTGATTGTGAGTTACTTTGGGAAGATTCAACAGTATAGGCTTGGTTCACAACCTCAGGAGGACAGATTGATATGAACATTTTCTCGCAAGTTTGAGAAGACTCTTGGTGCTTTAGAGGGTGATGCAGTCACCAGTGGGTTCCGGTGCTACTCAGATTACAGGCGAAGAATTGGAAGCTTCGACCAGTGAGTTCGAAGCTCCTCCAACCGTAGGAGACTGAGGCGGGGTGTTATGGAGGACCGGTCTCAAGTGGAGGGGCTATATTTCTCTCCCCACTCCTTCCTTCCTAGTATTTTTCTATTATAAGTCCTTACCAATTCTAAATTATGATATATTTTACTCGTCCTTGCCTTAATATGAAATTCTATTAGTTTATTCGTTCTTGCCTAATCTGAATTCTTATTATTTTTGTTCTTCTTTCTTATTTTTAACATTGTATAAAATAATTCTTAGTCCTCATTATAAATAGGGGGTGTTATGCTTAGAATCTTTTTAGTTTTTGCTGTTTTTGCTTTCAGATTTCTTATGTGGAATCATTTTCCCTTTTGTAATGTTGTATGCAAGGAGATGGTGGTACTGCAATTGTATCCTACTCCAAGTTGGTGTTGTATCTTCCTTTTTACCCTTACCTAACCCTTCTCCTCCCCCTCTCCTCCGCCGTCGACCTCCCCTCACTTCATCCCGACACCTAGCTGCCCTTCCCCAACAACATAACCTTGTTGTTCAGCTTCCCGGACTTTCTCCCAGCACCCAACCGACCCTTCCTCAACAACATAACCTTGCTATCCAGCTTCCCAGACTTCCTCCCAGCACTTAGCCGCCCTTCCCCACACATAACCCGCTGTCCAACTCCCCATCCTTCATCCAACACCTAGCCGCCCTCCCCCAACAACATAACCTTGTTGTCCAGTGTCCCGGACTTCATCCCCGTGCCAACCACCACTTTCCCTGTAGCAAATCCTGTTGTCCAACCACTCCACGTTCGCCGCAACCCACCTACTGGCCTCTCAAATCACCCCTTTGACCCCCCCTTCACAACCTCCATCCTTGATTCTTTCCCTTAGCAATTCGCCGAGACCACCACTGTCATGGATCTTCTCTTTTGGTCCAAGCCAGAGATTGATATATTATTGTATTTCCCTTTCTGTTTGTGTCATGTTGTAACTCTATCTCAATATTAATAAAAGTCGCTTTTGTTTCCGCTGATTTTTTAAGTAGTTCTGGTATCATTAGGTTTCTGAAAAGTGAAAGTGATCACACCGTATTCTATAAGTAATATGTTTCAGTGATCATTCTATTAGTGGTTTATTATTATTATTGGAAATGATATGCATAAAATTTTATCAATGAAATCATTTATCCGATTATTAAATAAGTAATAAGTCATATTATCATTTATCCGATTCTATAAGTTGGTTTGGTCATATTAAACGTCGACCATTAGATGATCCGATTAGGAGAGTAGATGTTTTAGATTCGACTTGTGTTAAGAAAGGCAAAGGTAGACCTAGGAAGACTTGGGCTTATTGTATTAAAAATGATCTTAATTTACTAGAACTAAATGAAAATATGACACTAAAAATAGGACGCAATGGAGAGAAAGGATTCATGTAGCTGACCCCACGTAGTGGGATTAAGGCTTTGTTGTTGTTGTTGTTGTTGTTGTGAAATCATTTATCCAAAATCAGGTTAACACTAAGGATCTGGGCTTCTTGAAATACTCCTTAGAGATTAAGGTATTATGGAGCAATAAGGGTATTTTTCCATCTCAACAGAAATATTTTATGGATTTGTTAGAAGAAACTGTGAAATTAGGAGTCAAACTATGCAGTACTCCAATAATTCCTAATCAACAACATACCAAGGATGGAAAACCTTTTCATGATCCTAAATGATATTGGAAGTTAGCGAAAAAATTAAACTACCCCACAACGACTCTCTTATGCAGTTAGCATTATAAGTCAATTCATGTCTTCCTCCACAATCCATCATTGGTCGGTTTTGGAATAAATACTATGTTACCTTAAAGGAGCTCTTGGATAAGGCATTCCATATCAGAGCCATGGGCATATAAATATTGATGTATCTCTGATATAAATTGGGTGAGTTCCAAGATTAATGGAAGATCCATTACTTGATAGTGTTTTTTTTTTTTTGTTGCAATTTGATCTCATGGAAGAGTGAGAAGTATAATGTAGTGTTACTATCTAGTGCAAAATCTAAGTATCGAGAAATGACACATGCTTTGCGTGAATTAATGTGGATCTCCCAATTCTGATCGAAATGAGTTTTAAAATGACAATTCCAGCAAAGCTGTGATGTGAGCAATTCATATATCCTTAAACCCCTTCTTCCATGAACGAACTAAGCACGTTGAGATAGATTGTCATTTTATTCGTGAAAAGATTTGACAAAATTTAAATTCTGCAGCTCATGTAAAGATTGAGAACAACTAAGAGACGTTTTCACAAAGACCCTTAATGGAGCTAGGGTCACTTATATTTGTAAAAAGCTAGGCACTAGGTACAATAAATATCTATGCTCCAATTTGGGGAGTGTTATGAAAAGTAATAAATCTAAAGCTTATGTATTAGGAAGCTTGATATTGGGTAATCTAATTAGAAGAGATCTAATTATAGGATCTTTTTAATATTAAAGATATTTATAATCTGTAGAGATGGGAGTGTATATAATATGTAATATATGTTTCAATTGTGAAATAAGAGAAGAGCTGCTTCCTTTTACAGTATAATTAAATTTTATCACTTCAAAAAAATCAACAAGATTATTATATATTTAACCATTCATTTATTCCCTCGAGATAATTGCCTCTGTTCTTTGGTACGTCTTTATAAACTATTACATGACTGCTGGTGTTCTATATTTCCATTAATAGTATTATACTAATTGTGTAGTTCATAAACTTCTTTTATATCCTCTTTGCAATAATAATTGTGTAGTTTATTTAGTTCTTTAATATCCTCTTTGCCATAATAATTGTGTAGTTCATTTATTTCTTCGCTTTGTAGTGCATCACTTTCATGAATTAGTAAAGGATTAAGTTATTTGATGTCACTCTTATTATGCAGATAATCACGAGCATCATCATATTCATGATCCTGGTGTTTCTTCTGTAAGCATTGTTTGTGAAGGGAGCCTCGATCTCAACAAGGTTTCTTGTTTTTATTTCTCTATATACAAGTGCTTTAGACTTCATTGCCATCTATTGCTTTTCATAATCAAGATACAATGAACGTAAATTAGTAGTTTTTTTTTCTTACTTCGCTGTTATACCTTATTGGGTCTTTTTAACTTAACAAGCCACTACTTCACATTGGCTACAGGCAAACACGTGGTTGGGCACTTTATTGATGGAACGGAGTGATGACATATATCGAATGAAAGGTCTTCTTTCTGTTGAAGGCATGGAAGAAAGATTTGTTTTTCAGGTTTGTACTGTGCTAACATTAATTTAGTTTGTATAACTGTTGAGGTTTTATTTTACTGTGACGAACTTCCAATTTTTTGGCAATTTGTGCTTGGTTCGAGTGTGAGTGAGATTTATTATACATATCTTGCTAAAGATAAAATAAAACTTTGCATTAAATAATTAATAGACATATTTCGTTCACATCACTAACTCCTCTTTTCAGGCCAAAATTCCTATATTTAGATTTCTGATTCAATAAAACTTTGCATTAAATAATTAAACATACTCTCAAATATATAATTATTTATCTAATAATAGATTAACTTATTAACTTATTTAAGATATTACACAAACTTTCGAACTCTGTCCTAGCTCACACGCGAGGCTCACTCCTTCCTCTTTTTGGTCTTGGCTCGACGGCGTGAGTTCTTCTTCCTCTGCTATGCGAGTACAGTGTCGAAGGTCACACCTCCTCCCTTCCTTGACTTTGACTCAACCCAGAGCATGCCGTCACCACCACTTTCTTCCATATCTTCCTCAATCAAGCAGCATATGAATCCTGGTAAGGCACGAAACCCCCTTTCCCTCTTCATTCTGTTTGAACCTTCTTCATCCTGTTTGAATCTTCTTCTTCCTCCTCTTCCTCCGCGCGCCTAGTTCTTCTCTTTCAGTCTCATCAAACTCAACGCACGCAGTGGCTTCGGCTCTTGGCTCGATCTAGAGTCACACATGCAACTCCTTCCTTCTCTTTCTCTGCACTCATGAAAACTGGCGAAGTCGTTCGATTAGGGCACGAAGGTTTCCTTCTCCGATTTTTGTCACTGAAATTGCTCCCCTTCTTCTATTGTTTCTTCCTTCCTCTCTCATTCCTTCTCACTGGATACGATCGAATGAGGAGTCAAATAGTAAAGGTCGCGATCTAATCCTCGACAAAATGCATCTTTTCGAAACGACGCCCTTATTTATTTATTTATTTATTTTATTTTATTTCTATTATTACATTTATGTTGGGATTGCTCTTAGTGTCTCATTCTAGTGTTGCATCTAAGAGCAAATGATACTTCGGTTGTATCTCATTCCGAGTGGTGACTATTCCCGGCTTCCCCTTCCTCCACAACCTTCCCTCAGCTACTGCCATCACAATATCTGCTGCAGCTGCCTGGAAACAACCCTCTTTAGCTATTTACCTGCAGCTTCTTGTTGCTCCAGCCCTGTCCTCGCCGTCATCATTGTTCCAGCCTCCCTCTTAGCTGTCGTTGCCGCCATCTCTGTGTCAGCTGCCCAGGACCCTTGCCCTAGCAGCCTTGCTGCTATGGCGTTATTCCAGCAGCCAGGACGGCCCCTTCACAACCTTACTGCTGTCCCTGCCTTTCCCAACCTTCCCAGCCACTGCTCCTCCCCTTCCCACGCCAGGACAGCAAAGATATTGCTGTTGGTATTATTGTTCCGGCCCTCATGCTTCACCATTGTCACTCCGAACCCTTTCAACTCGCTGTTTTACTTTCTGTCCAGCTCTCGACCACCTTGCTGCCACCCTTCTTGTTGAAATTTGATTTTCTAAATACAGAATCCCTAATTTTAAACTTTGAGAACAGTGTTGCAATCCACATCAGTAATCTCATGCTTCAGGATTGAACAAAACACTTTGTAATTTCCTTAGTTATGTTTGTCTGTATTTGTGTGCTACAAGTAGTCTTCCAACAAAAAGAAAACAACAACAAGCCTTTATCCCACTAAGTGTGATCGGATACATGAATCCTTTTTCTCCATTACGTCCTATTGAGTTTCATATTTTCATTTAATTTTAATAGATTAAGAACATTTTTTATATAATTTGCCCAAGTCTTTTTAGGTCTAACTCTATCTTTCTTAACATAAGTCGAATATAAAATATCTACTTTCCTAATAAGGTCATTAGATGTTCGGCGTTTAATGAAACCAAACCATCTAAGACGACTCTCTCTACTCTCTCTAATCTTGTCCGCACTCTCTCTAATCTTGTCCGCCTTTGGAGCTACACCAACCCTATCATGGATATATTCATTTCGCATTTTGTCTCCACTCATCCACTCACTCATCCACTTAAGCATTCTCATCTCAGCAACAATTAACTTTGTTTTATGCTTCTCTTTTAAAGGCCAACATTTTGCGTCATAGATCATTGTAGGTCTCGCCACCATCTTATAAAACTTTTCATTAAATATGAGTGACACTTTTCTATCACACAATAGGTCTGATGCATTCCTCCACTTCAACAAACCAACTTGAATTCTACTAGTAACATTCCAATCTATATCACTATCACTCTGAACTATAGACCTGAGATTTGTAAAACGATCACACCTTTAATGATCTGATCACCCATAATTACAACCCTACCACTACTGCTGCTACTACTAAAATTAGATTCCGTTTTTTCAGTTTTAAATCTACTCAAATGAAGTCTTTTAGACTCTAATGTAGACCTCCATTTTTGAAGTATTTCCTGAACTCTTTCTCTAGAAAAAAAAAAAAAAATTACATCCTTCCATGCAGGCAGATCATTTTTTTCATGCATGTTTGGACTTCCCACCATAGTTGAGTTCATTAAAAATGACGTTTTTTTAATCTTTATTTTGAGTCACTCATGCATGAATTTAATTACTCCGCTGTTTGAACGAAGTGATAATTGAAACTTGTCTCTCTCACCACTCATTGCAATGGTTAACTTAATCCGTCCTTTGCTGTCTGATACAGGGAGTTCATGACATCTTCCAAGGGTCTCCTGATAGATTATGGGGTTCAGAGGAACCAAGGATCAACAAAATCGTATTTATAGGGAAGAATCTCAACGCTGAAGAATTGGAGAAGGGCTTCAAAGCTTGTCTGTTGTGATGGTATTTCTTTTGCCAAATATTCTTCTAATGTTTTAATCAATGTTGTTTAGCCTTCTCCACTTTTATACTGATAAAACGAGCATTCTCTGTTTAGTGTGCAAAATTCAGAATAGAGCATGCCTTGTACCAGTAGTGTTTTTGATCCTTGCCTTGGAAGGAAATTTCGCTTTTTTCTAGTCTCTAGCACGAGTCCGCTGTCTCAAATTAATCAGTCATTTTGTATGGGTGATGATTTATGGTCCGAAACACAGTCCATAGTGTGGCGGCATTTTTAATATGTCGAATGATTCAGACTGAATTCGAGCTAAAAAATTTGTACGGTGTAGCATTGTTCATTTTGATGTCTATGGTTTCTATCATTTTCTCTGTCATCTTCATTGATCCCTGCACTAAAAATTTGAAGAGTTGAATTGTTGATTGATTAAATTCTAGGAACATTTGCATAAATGACACTCAATTCCTATGTATTTACTTGTATAACACCTAAATTTTAATTTTTGCATGACTGCCATACGGTGTAGCATTGTTCATTTTGATGTCTATGGTTTCTATCATTTTCTCTGTCATCTTCATTGATCCCTGCACTAAAAATTTGAAGAGTTGAATTGTTGATTGATTAAATTCTAGGAACATTTGCATAAATGACACTCAATTCCTATGTATTTACTTGTATAACACCTAAATTTTAATTTTTGCATGACTGCCACCTTACCTATGCATAAAAAGGTGTATTTCACTTTTAAAAAGTTCAAATAGTGGTATTTTTTGATGTGATATGAAATATTTGGGTGGTATAAATATAAAAACTAAAGTTTAGGTGTTAGATATGTAGATACAGAGGAGCTGAGTGGTATGTACATAAATGCTCCTAAATTCTATTTGCTTTGGTGAAGAGGATATGATGCGGGGCTTGGAGGATAGGCGGAACAAGTAGATGGGGCATAGGGAAATGGCTAAACCGGCCAATCGGTTTAGCCCTTGAGTATTATGGTCCAGTAGGAGGCTAGACCGGCCCATCTGCGGCTTCCAAGGGCGGAAAGTATCTCTACTCATTGTTGCTTCCCCTGTTTTTTACGCTTCTTCCTCTTTTCTGGCTGTTGTCCAAAGTGGAAACATTCCTTCCTAGTTTATCTATTAGCTATTATTAATGTGTTGTTTTCTGGAATTAGGGTTAGTTTTTCCTTATTGTTGCGTTCAAATTTCTCCTTTGGAGTCTTAGCTCCCTTAGAAGGGCTTTATCCAACTACGGGTGACGTTTCAGTTGTATCCCTATCCGAGATGGTGTCGTATCCTCCCTTATCTTCCTCTCCAACGTGTTCCCGACATCTTCATAGGCCTTGCCACCGCCTTTTAATCCCCAGCTGCCTTGCCACCCAACTACTGTAGTCATCTCTGCTGTCCAGACTACTTTCTAGCTTGCTTAATCCCTTTCCCCGTATTCCTGCATGTTGTTCATCCCTCCAAGCCCTCCTTCACTTCAGGCCGCCCCATTACTGCTCTCAGTCGGGCTATCATAGCCCTCCGGATTACCTACCAGCCCTCAACAACACTTTCCCTGCAACCACTCTCATTGTCCAGCCCACCTACCGGACCCCAGATCCCTTCCTAACTAATCTCACAACTACCAACTCTTCCCCATACTCTCACCACATTGTCGACGCCACAACCGCTCTCGAATCTTCTCTTCCAGTTCTATCTGGACTTTGATCTATTGTTGTTTTTCTCTTTTTGTTTGTGTCGTGTTGTGACCCTATTTCTGTATCAATAAAAGTTTGCTTTTATGTTTCAACTAAATCTTAACTAGTTCTGGTATCATTTGGTATCAGAGCTAGTCTAACCCTAGTCTTATCTTAGGGTAACCATGACCCCTAAATCTCAAATCCCCCTTGTTGATTTTCAAAATCAACAAACCCAAAACAACTTCTTAACACCCGCTGTCAACCACCAAATAATTTTCCTTCCACTACCCAAAACCTAACCCCACCAAAATTTTGATTTTCTATTCCTTAATCCCTAGTTAATGCCACTAAGGAGAAATATGTCCGAGTCTACCAAGGAAGTGATACGATGAAAGCTTCGTCGCCTTCGACAGAGGCTTACATAAATTGAAGAGTTGACATAGAAGAGATTACCTCAACTAAGATCTGGAGAGTCGAAGGGGAGAAAGAGGAGAAGTTTTGAATCTTCTCCATAGGGATAATTTCAGCAACAAAGAAGCTGTGTTTCGGAATCCAGTATCAGAGGAGGCGTAGAGAGGGATTTGTTACTCCCTTTCAAAGGGAGAATTTCCAAGAGATATCATTTGGAGGACACAGATTACAAAATCATGTTGAATTTACTAGAGTTTGAGGGAGGCATGGATCCGAATGAATTCATTGATTGGCTACAAACTGTTGAGCAGATATTTGAGTATAAAAATGTGGTAGAAGATAAGTAGGTCAAACTAGCTGCTATTGAGGAAGAATACCTTCTTATGGCGGGAGAATGTACAACGGCAGAGGAAACATGAAGGCATCGATAAGATTACCAATGGGAGAAGATGAAGAAAGTCATGCAGAAAAAAATATCTTCCCCCCGTCAAAACATGTTCATGAAGCTCCACAATCTGTAGCAATGAGATCTTTCAGTGGAGGAGTTCACTGCTCAGTTCGACTATTTACAACTGAAGTGTGTGCTGATAGAGCCAGAGGAGCATACAGTAGCCAGATACTTTGGGGGCTAAAGTCTATTATTACTGATGTAGTGCAGCTACATATGTATTATATGTTTGGGGATGTCCATACACTAGCTTTGAAGGTGGAGAGACAGTAGAAGCAGAGCAGGCTTCACCGCAACAAACATCCTTCAGGAAGGCAGTCACCTGTAGTTATCACGACCAACAAGGGTATCTTAGGAGAAAATAACAAGCCCAAATAAGAGAATGACACTCCAGATCAGAGCGGGGAGAAACAAAAAAAGGTAGCTCCAACACTGTATTGGTCGGGATGTGTTTCAGATGTCACGGTTATGGTCACATAGCCTCAAGCTGTCCCACGAGCAGAGTAGTCACACTTACTGATCAGGACGTCGTGGAAGAGTTAGCCATGAGGAGAAAGTTAAGGAACAGAGTGAGGTGTACCAGCTTCCACCAGATGAAGAAGAGACACTTGTGATTCGACGAATCCTACAAATCGAGGGCACATGCGATCTGCCGTGGCTTCATCACAATATTTTCTACACTCATTGCGCCTTGAACAAAAAGATATGCAACCTTATCATCGATGATGAGAGCAATAAGAATGTGACATCAACTCAGATGGTAGAGAAATTGAGAATTTAAACTTAGAGGTATTCTCAGCCGTATTCACTGACGTGTCTGAAGAAGGAGAATCAGACCAACATTGATCGGAGATGCTTGATAGAGTTTTCGATTGGAGGCCTGCTGTAGGACCAGGTGTGTTTTGACTTGGTTTCTATGGATGTCTTCCACCTTCTGTTAGGAAAATCGTGGCAGTATGACTAGTGAACCAACACGATGGATTTAGAAACACATATTCCTTCACCAAGGATGGGAATCACATAATTCTACTTTGGTGAAGCCGGAGATCACAAGAGCCCTTACCAGCAGAGCGGCCACAATGGGACTAGTTTTAGTGACAACAGAGAATAAGAGGACTGAGACACCCGCTCCAGACACGGGGCATGCACAACAGAGATTATTTTAGGGTCTTAGGGTTGACATCATACGACTAGGGCCACCACCAAGCGGGAAAGTTCAAGTTGCACTTACTTCAAATCTAGTAATTCCAACCGGGGAGTATGTTGGAAGTATTCATTAGTAGAGACGAGACACGTTGACTCAGTTCGACACTGTAGCAGACTCCCAGAGGACGGGATCGGTGTGGATGTTTGCTTGTAAGTTCGGGAAGACTCTTGGGTAATTTGGAGGACGGTGGATCCAGGTGCTACTAGGATTGCAGACAAAGAACCTATGTTACACGAACATGTAAACACAGATACGACACGAATAGAAGACACGTCTACTATTGAAAATATGGGACCTAGACACGTGTTAGACACATCTCTATAATAAATATTATTGAAAATACATGGATATATTAAATAAACAAAAGAGAAAAAATAATTACATTTACTTTCAAAAACTAAGGTGCCTATAGATACATCTTGAGCTTATGACTTACAAAATGCAAACATAATAACATAAATTTTCTTGTATTACATCAAAATTTAACTTTCATAATTCATTAAAAGAAATAAAAGGATAACAGACTTCTTTGGCATGTACTTTCACTTCATAATTCACACACTATGATCATCATTAAATATCATAGATTCAAACTCTGGCTCGTCAATAGAATTGTTTGCCATCGAGGGTCTCAAATCCATCTCCTGTGACATCCCCCATTTTAGAAGCTAAAACATAAAATCTAATTTTAAGAAGTAATAAATTAACAATGCATCCCATATTGACGTGAGAATGAGTGGTATTTACTGTAAATTTTGAGGTTGTTACATATACACACCACCAAATTCTTATGTATTTACACATCTTACATCTAACATTTGACTTTTTACATTTATGCCACCCAAATTTTATCTCACATCTAAATATATAAATCAAATTAGATGAAATACATCTTTTTAATTTTTCTATATATGTAAGGTGGCATATACGAAAAAAATAAAAATTTTGGTGTTAGAAATGTAAATACATAAGAATTGCTGGTATGTATGCAAGTCATTCCTCAATTTTACATTTTGTTTAATTTTAATCTTAAAAATATTTTTTTTTAGACTTTTTTTTATTTTATTAATTTAAAACACTCATGTCCACTCTCCTTTATTTAATATTATTTAATTTAGGGTTTGTTTGGGGCAGTTGTCCAGATAAGCAACTTATCCTGATAAGTTGTTGGTCAGCAGTTTATTCGAATAAGCAGTTTGACTGTTTGGTTTGTGTGTTTGAGAAACAACAGATTCTGGATAAATGATCATTATGCCCCTGTTTTGGATAAATTGATTAGCTGTTTGTTTTGTGTATTTCGAAAACAACTGATTTGCAGATTTTTTAAGTAAATGAACAATTTGGTACGAAGAAGTTGTAATATTCTCAATAAAACTACAACGTCTACACATTACATATTTAAGAACTAATAAAACCTCTTCATAACATTACATTTTTTGGAACACTCTTTATGTAAATCTATTCTCATTTCTAGCTCTCTATAAGCCACCAAATTTATAGAGAGAATGAAACCATCGTCCATATTAACAGGGTTGATAGCAGCAGGAGAACCAAAAACTTCTTAAAATTGAGTTCTCATAATGTGAAACAGACAGGCTAATGCTAGCCGATATGAAATGAGATCCATCTTCAAAAGGGGAAAACCTCATACATCAATTCCATGACAGAAGAATTTCATCCTAAAGCGTGAGGAGCATATGAACTTCAAATGAATGCTTCTTGATGCCACAAATGAGTGTTCTCAGTCGAAGGAAGTTGTTGTCTGCCGCGTCGGAATTGGAGGATCAAAACGTTCAGTTGGGGCGAAAGACATCCAACAGAGAACACTCAGAGAAGAAAACTCATCTTACGGCAACGTCGGCAGCCTCCGCAGACATGAATTCCGACGAACTTCACCATCCCCACTCTCTTTCACCCAACTCTATCCATTATACTAGCGAACAAGACTTTGTGTAGAAAGCAGTTAGGAATCCCAAAATCCTCATTGTTTTCGAAGAACCCATCAGAAGGGAAGCGAAACTGGGGATCGAATGAGATGGAAAAGTACGAGATGGTGCGCGATATCGGATTCGGGAACTTTGGGGTCGCGAAGCTTATGTGAAATAAGGAGACAAAGGAGCTTGTCGCCGTCAAACATATCAAAAGAGGGCATAAGGTTCGATCCAGAAGAGGAGATGGCGAGGGGGTCGAGAGCTCCGTCCTTGAGGAGGAGAAGGCGAACGAGAAGGTCGAGTGATTCACTTAGGGCAGAGAGAGTGAGGGTCACATACGTCTTTCGCTCGAACGAAATGCGGATCGCGGGGTCTTACCCGCGATCCGCATTTAATAGAAACCTGCAAACGGAGTTTTTAAAAACACCTTCTAAACACATTATTCAAACAGCCGATGGCGTTTTCAAAACGCCACCGCTGTGAATAAGCTCCTCCAAACGCACCCTTAGACACTTATGTCCCGTGTTCAATAAATGTCTCAGCTGTGTCGGAGTCGTGCCTTGACAATGCATGACTCCTTATTTAGGAGTGACATATCAAAGAACTAAAAGCTTCGACGAATGAAGTCTATGTTTCCCAACGCCATAAGAGTGGCATGGGGCTGGGAATTGAGCGGGGCACAAGGGATAAGCGGAACCGACAAATGGGGCATATGTGAATGGATGAACCTGCCGATTGGTTCAACCCTTGAGTATTTTGGTTTAGCAGGAGGCTGGATCGACCTGTTTGTTGTTTGAGGCTCTCAATCTCGGAAAGTTAAGCTAATCTTTCCCACTTCCTCTATTTTTGCCACTTCTTCTACCATTTCTGGTTGCCGCCCAAAGGGGAAACCTTCTCTTCCTAGTTTATCTATTAGTAATTATATATATGTTGTTTTCTAGAATTAGGGTTAGTTTTTACTTGTTGTTGTGTTCAAATTTCTCCTTTGGAGTTTCTCACATGGTAGGGTTGTATCTGAAGACGGGTGGTTCTTTGGTTGTATGCCAATTTGAGGTGGTGTTGTATCCCCCTTATCTCCCTCCCCATAGGCCGCTGACCCCCTCCTCTCCATCCCCAACCGCCTTGCTGCCCATCTGCTGCAGACGTCCCTGTTGCCCTTTCCCGACATTCCTACTTGTTGTCTACTCTTCTAGACCCTCCTCCACTTCAAGCCGCCCCATTATTGCCCTCAGTTGGGCTGTCCCAGCTCTCCGGATTGCCTAGCAGCCCTCGAAAACCCGTTCCCTGCAAGTACTCTCACTATCTAGCCAAACTTACAGGACCTCAAACTCCTTAACCGATCATATCCTCACCACATTGCTGATGCCACCCCCACCCTTGGATCTTCTCTTCCAACCGTAGCCAGAGATTGGTTTGTTGTTATTTTTCTCTTTTCATTTATGTCATATTGTAACTCTATTTCTATAATAATAAAAGTTTACTTTTGTGTTTCCCTTAAATCCTAACTAGTTCCGATATCCGGATATTTCTACCATGGAACCCTAACTTTATTTGATACCAACTTGACAACAAATGGTTTTGGAAGTCCTGGTAAATGAAGTCAAATATTTTGGCTAAACTTGAATGAGAACTTGGAATTATCCAGGATTCAGATATCAGACAATGGTTGAGATGTGAATGAGATAAAATTTACATAGTTTGCTCTTCTTGGTGATAGGTAGTTTTCTATATGGCAAAACCAACAGAGGGTATATGCAGTAGAAAACAAGTAATGCAAACGGTCAAATTATTTGAATTTCTCTAGACTTCCGGAGAATAAAGAGTATGGAGAATTATGTTATCAAGTTTCAATTGCTACATTTTTTATGCTTAATTTACGGAAACCAAGACCTTATGAATGTAATATATGAGGTTTATGAAAAGTCTTTAATTATAATTACATTGAACAACGGCAGCCTTTTATTCGCAACAAAATTGGTTTAAAAACAGTAAGATTTTTCATGTCCATTGCTACCTAATTGTTAAGTGATTATTTATTGATTGAAGGGTTTGATTATGGTTATCTCTGGCTAACTTTTGAAAGATTTGCATAGTAGTAATTAATTGAAGTTAAATTTACATGGATGTCACGCAATTCTTACGTCATAATATATATAATACCTCAATTTTCGTATTTCAATTTAGGCATGTTACATAAGTACCATCCAATTCCTATGTTTTTTAAATATCCAACATCTATAATTTGATTTTTATATTTATACCGACAGAGATAATATCGCATGAAAAAATATTACTATTTTTCAACTTCCAGAAAGTAAGGTACACATTTTCATGCATATGCATGAATAACATGGTTACAGACAACCATACACACATACACACATGCATGGATATACATACATACATATATACATATATTTGTGTGTGCGCGTGCGCCTTGCACTCAGATCAGTTGGTCCGACATCTGCGTGTCAGTTGTAAATCCCCTCTGGTCCAGGGTTCGATTCTCCTAATAGAGGGTGTGATATTTGAATTGTTAGGCGCATCGAGAATGGTGGGGTCTTATATTACAGGCCCTTATATGTATCTGTAAAAATTAAAGGTAGATATTTAAATACATAAGAATTGTATGGTATGCATGTAAATTTTTCTTAAATTAATTATACTTTAATGTAATTAACCTAAATTACGTGAATTGTGTGCAATGTAAATGCTCTTTTATATTTAATATGTAAATAATAGTGATATTTTTAACATGAAATTAAAAATTTGAATGATATGAATATAAATATGAATTGTTAAATAATTGATGAGTAAATACATAAGAATTATGTGGTATGTATTTAAATGCCCGTAAATTTAATTAGCCGTTGTTGGCTCTATTTTTGGAATATGATGCAAAATGCGTGTGCATGAAATATATTATAATGTCACTAGTTATAACAAAGTTATCATTATGACATGACGTGAAGAAGCATTCTAAAAACAATAATCAAATGCCCGATTGTAAAGAAGAGCTTTTTTATTTTTATTTATTATTTATTTTTTTTTTTGTAGAAGAGATATTTGTTCGTTATATGTAAAAGGACTCATCACATTGCCATTTTTTTATAGAAATTTCAACACCTATCAATTTTAAGTCTCACCTAAAAGATAATTGTGATGAATTAGTTATGGATTGATGGATGGAGTTTGTCAAAATATAGTCACAAATTGTAAAATCACAAGTTTTAAGGAGAGTTATAGGCTTCCATCTTTATCACAAATCTATTGCAAACTCAAAAAAATTCATTGCAAATCTAAGTATATTGAACATGAACATCCACTTCAAATTCATATATAGTTTTCAATCAGCTGACTGCAACTATTCTTTTCATCTTTTAAAAGTTACAAGCATCCAACAATATTCAAAATCATGTTATACCAAAACATGTTTAAACCATTACATACATCATACAACTGATTTTCACAACAATGTAAATCAATAACATACAAAATCTATAAGAGTTGGATGGTTCTTTTTCAAACTAAATGTGCGTTGTTCTGGATAACAGAATTAATTAGTGTTTTCCATATATTATGTGTGTGTGTTTGTATGTATCACAACACTATCTGATTCCACTTACGTGCATGGATATCTTAACATCCTGCAAATATCATAAAAGGATGAACTCTAATATAATCAATATGCACAAACAATTACTTTATATAGTTTGTACAAGACATTTTTTTTTATATCACTTAGTATACAATACATTATAAGTAATATATAAGTATTTTCATATTAAAATATTTAAATCATTCATATTGATTTGACCGACAAGATTCAAGAAAATAATCAAAGTAAAGTCTCACGAATATATTAATCATGTATTAAAAACTTTCCATGCAATTGGTTTAGAAGTCAATAATGTTATTTCAAGTTAAAATTAAGTGTACTCACCTCACTCAGCTGGCTTATCTTAAACCTTCAAACACCCTTAAGTTTTGTCTTCCAATGGTTAGCCACCTATAATATTAGAAAAGATAATTCTTAAATATTCTTTGATTATGTTTAATTAATTTTTCTATTAATTATAGTATTTTAATTTTTAGTTAGAATATTTTATTTTAAGTATTCATGTCACTTAAATTTGACTATCAATACTACAACTTTAATCAATATCTACGATTTATATTAAATTTTATTCAATATCCAACTAATGTCTAATCTAATTTAAATAAATACTTGCAAACTTTGATATTATGATTCCAACAAATCTTTCATATTATTATTAATTTTCAAGCTCAATTTTGTATATAACTTAATACAATTTCAATTATTATTATTATTATTATTATACTAATGTTATTATTATTAATAATAATTAATATTTGTTATTCAAAAGTAAGATTATAAATTAATTATTTCAATTTAATATTTTATTATTAAAAAGTAGAGAACATAATCACTTATTAATTTTCACTTACAATGAATGTATATAAATATTTAAATTTTTAATCTTTGTTGCCTAATTATCCTAAGTTCATTAATCTTTTCTTAATTATTATAAATTAAATTTAAATTTTTTTCTTAAAATAATATCATCTTAACATTTCATATAAGAAAGCATTAATAAAATAAAGTATCCTAACCTTATTAATACCCTCGAACCCAGTTCAACGCATAGGAGTCCACCACCCCGGCCTCCCTAACCCAATTTTCTTTGCTCCGGAACGCACGAAACTCTCCTTGTCGGCAAAGCCACGCGTGTGTCCCACTATTCACTTTCATGTGTGCTAACCCGAGATAGCCTTCCCCTCTTATCTTCCAGCCTCAAGCCTTCAACTCATGAAAGAACCAATTGTTGTCTTCTGCCCTCGAGCTGCTTGAAAAAGTCCACTGATTGCTTGTTGCTTGATCGCAGACCACACGACGCTGATTGCTCCATCTTTGGTTCTCTGCTTCACTTCTAAGATAGTTGAAGTTGTCTGGCTAAGAATAGGACTTCATTGCCTGCTGCTTTGAAATGCTTATGTTATAGAGTTTTTTCTTTAAAAGTCAAGCATGACAGTCCCATTTCTCATATCGTATTGACTTGAATATGTTAAGTCTATGTAAGTGAGTTTTCCTATACAATCTCCTTTAAGAAAAAAGATTGATTATCAAATATCTATTATGAGAAACTTCAATTTAGCAAAAAAAAAAAAAAGAGACTGTCTTATCACTCAAAACTAATGAGTGATGAAGGGAATAGACCCACCAACATGCTTTATCATGCCCCCTTCTCAAGCATGCAATATTTGCTTGTAGTTAGGAAGAGATTGAACGAACAAGTAAAAAATTAACATTGGGGTTAAAAGCAAATTTAGTTCATAAACCCATATCTAACATAACAAAAAGAGAAAGAAAGCTTCCTTTATGGTAGAAGTCGTAATTGCAATCATTACAAAGTCTTTATAGTAAGATAAAGAGGGAATAGAATTGTGAGACGATGTAGCGTTATTTGAGAAGATCTGAGGAACAAAAACAAATTATGATTTAAAATTGGTATTCATTCGATAGGCTCAGTAGAAAAGTCTGACCCATGGTCATCGTAGAGCTACATTTCATAATCGGGGGATGACAAAATGAGCATCCTACCCACAGACGAATGAATAATGACTGATACACTAAAGAAGCAACAATAAGTGGTAGGCAAGCATATGAGTTGAAAAATAGATGTTGGTGAAGTGGGTTCAAATTGATAAATTTAAATGGGATGTTATAAATCTAGTCAAGACCAAATAGTAGAAGAAACTTGAGCTAATGACAATAGTTTATCTACCATAAGCACTATAGAGGATATACACGAACAGTTTGAATGATCTTCGCAAGGTTATTACACTTATTTGTAATACTGTTATATTTAGTTGTTTATCACACACTCATAATGACTGAAATGTTGTGTTGGGCTCTTTTATGAATCTAACTTCATTTGCATGCATGCTTGATAGAGTCGTTGCTTTCTCAAGCATAACAAAAAATAATGCTCATAGGCTTATAAGGTTTAAAAAGTTATAATGAAAATCAAGGCAATTTCCTCAACAGAATTGAAACATATGTTTCAAATTGAATCGAGGCTTGCGCTACGAAATAAAACAAAAAAGAGTCAAAAACTTATACAAAACATACAATGTTCTATAAAAAACAAAGCCTAAATTCATTAAAGGCGTGTTCTAAGGAAGCACACAAATATAAAAAAAATTTAAATAGAATCAAATTGAATGAAGACGTAGGCTGCAAATTAAAACATTAATAAGGCATAAAGCTATGAAAATTTAGAAAATATAAAAAATTCATCAAAAATTAATAACCTTAATTCATTAAAGACATATTATAAGAAATCACACATAAAAAAATTAAATAGAAATTTCGAGTTCAGAAAACACAAAAACTAGTAACTTATTATAAAACAAGAATCTAAATGAAGTCTTTTATGCTATAAGATTAGCATCATTAACATTATTATCAGTGGTGGGATCATCTAAAGAATTATCATGATATCAAAAAGCTCAATTGTCGTCTCTATCACTTTCATGTGAGTGATACCATTCATATTCTTCCTGCTCTAAGACTATAACTTTTTTCTTTACTACGTAAAGATTGTTATAATAAGAACGCCCAAAATCAGGAAACATAAAATAACAAAATAATATATGTTCCATAATGATTTATATTTTCTTGGCTTTCACCAATATAGTTTATAAGCATTATCTTTTCTCTTAACACCAAGTTTGACCATTATAGTTTACAAAGGGCTAGTAAAACGTGAAAGATTTTTGAATAATTAATTAGAAAATCTTCAACTAAACTCTAACAAAAAAAAGTTACATAAAACATTCTCTTAATCAAGAGTTCAAAATCTCATTTATTTGTATATTGAATGACCATGAAAGCTAATCATAGGTGAGTGTAAAGACAGCTAACAAAGCGAGTGAATGACAACAATCAAATGATGGAACCACATGATAATTCTACTAATAAAGAGAGAGTGAGAGTTGCGATTGTTGCAGCTCTATGATGAAAAACCATAGTTGTTTGAATTTTTAATAAAAAATTTGGTTGTTTTGGTTTTATTTTAATTAGTATTATTATTTTTTAAAAATATCAAAAGCCCATAAACTAAAAATTTCTACTAAAATCACAATTAAATATTTCAAAAAGCCCATAGCAGTAGCAACTCAAACTTTAAGATGCAAAACCTCACGCCTCGATTTATTGAGGCATATCTTTTAAAAAATGGTAGAAAATTATAGATCTTGGATTTTTTTACTATCGCCTTAGAAAAATGGGTTTAAAGTATAGGTTTTGAATTTTTTTTTTTAAATGTAGATTTATCATTTAAGTAATCATGCATGAAATAAAAGATACATGTATTATTCAGTTGGCTAGAGTTGTAGACCCAATATTTGTACTACAATAAGATTACTTATATCTTGTATAATTAGATTTGTTTGAGTTGTCTTATATGTATCTTCTGAATTCTTTTGCATACAAAATTGATGAGCAATATTATGTATTGTTTTAAAGATTTATACAAAAATTGCATCACAATGATGTATCTGTTATCTTTCACTTGTTACAATGCATTTTTGTACTTTTTATATGCATTCCTATGTACTTTCCATAACAATGGGAGATGTATTCATACATGTAGAAATATTACACAATCCTACCTTATGGCATACTATCACATGTGGTTACATACTACAAACATTTTTTAATCATGATGTGACATGATGTGCAATGTACTGTTGACTATTCTATATAAATACGTAAAAAATACCTATAATGAAAAGTTTGGATTGGCTGAAATATATAACCCCATGTAGAAGTGTAAGATAACAGATTTCACCTTCCTGACCAAGAAAAAGGCCCATAAACACTAAAAGAGAAAAAAATATTGCGTCCGGACAACGGAAAAAATGCATAGATCGCGTGCGAGATATATCTGAGGAAAAAAAAAAGAAAATCCGTGCATCGCGTCCGTTGTCCGGGCGCAGCTTGCGTCCGGACTCCGGATGTAATTTTTTTTCCTAAAAGAGGTAGAAGAATGGATATGATATTTTACATATGATTACTGGAAGCATATGCCACTAGCCAACCGGTAGAAAAGGTGTGGCTTTGTTATAATTGGGGGAAAGCCACTAAAGTGAATAAGATATTGTTATTGGTAATGATTGGTATCTACATGAATACAGATTGGTCATGTTATTTTTTAATGATGCACATAATGTTTAATATGAATGCTTACTAGCTGACTGTATGCTTGTCACTAATGAGACATTGAGGTGAAATCTCATTATACATGATACACAAATTGCTTTATGTCAACCCATCCACACATATTCAATTATATGAACACTAAGACAAACTGTAAGCATGCATTTTCCTTTTCCCTTTCCATGAATTGAATATTATGGTAGGTTTCATGTAAACTATTGGTATTAGGCTTATGCTCACATCATTGTGTCTGCATGTATATTTAGTTTTAGGGAATAAAAAATATATTAATTACATATAAAATGTACTATAGAAAGTGATAACCTTGTTTTTTATAAATGATTTTTAGTAAAATTCAAATTATTATATTTCAAAATTTTAAAAACATTTTTATATAGTTTGAATTCCAAACAAAAACGGCACTCGGGCAAATCATCGAACAGTTGCTGTACCTCAAATCACCAAGTTTACACATTGCTCACGCGCGATGTGGCACTGCCAGCGGAAGATCATAGAAATCGCGTGCGAGCTTAATACACTGCAGCCAGTGTAAGATCTCCGTGTTGGGATCCCTCTCCACGACAACGTCCTTCACCGTTATCTGTACCTCGCCGCGAAAGACCGTCACGCGGCCTCGAACCCTAACTAGCCCCCCGATCTGCACCTTTGCGGCATGTTCGCTGGCATCGGAAGAGTGAGGAAGGAGGTGGTGGTTAAGCCATAGGACGCAGGGCACACAGCCGGAACCGTCATCGATGAGGAAGCGAAGTAGCTTCGGCCGGAGATTGCGAGATGTGACGATGCCGAGAGATTCTGCACGGAATATGGGGCGGCCGTGACGGGAGATGGTTGGAGGAGCGGAGGAGGACACGGCGAGGGAGTTGAAATCGGCGGCGAGAAGCTTCACGTGAGTGTTTCGGGTTGGGTCCATGACAGAGGAAAAAGCTAACCGGGCGGCGGCTAAAGATTTTATAAATGTAATTTGGAAAACGGAAAATATTTACATAGAGAGTACCTACGCAGAACTACGTGCGTACAGAAGAATTGTTAAGAGGGTTTGTCATTGTTATTGGGATTAATACAAAATTTCTGAATAACAACAAAAAATATAAGCGTGAAACCGTGGAATGTATTGATATGCAATTGGGGATTATTGAGAGGTTATACTTCATTAACCTCTCAATAACCCCCAATAACAGAGTTCTTGGAAGTTTATTTTATGGAATACTCACACAGAACTGTGTCTATTCCATACGTAAATAGCGCTCTTCAAAAATAACCCTTTTTATGTCTTAACTAGGGCTGTCAAATGACGCATTGTTTGTGAACAGCTCGTGTTTAGCTCGTTAAGAAGTTCGTGTTCGATTCATTCGTTAAATTAACGAGCACAACACAAACATTTTTTTGTGCTCGATTTATAAATAAATTGAACATGAACAAAAAATTTTTCATTCTTGTTAGACTCGAAATACTACTCATCAATTATATATGTATGTCTGTGTGTGCATGCGTGCGTGTGTGTATATATTATTTTTATTTTATTCTATTTTATTTTATAAAGGAAATCAGTATTTGGCAGAGGCCAAAATACCGATTTCTCATGTGTTATGTCCTATGATGAGCAGCCTGTGCCATGTGCGCATGCCTTGGCTTGTTGGTGACCGAATCACTGTAAGCCCCC